AACGCACATTATGGATCCCCTTTGAGGGACTCAAGAAATACAAATGTACAGAGATAGCACATCAGCTATTTTTATGCGACCCATCCCTTCTTTACGCATGTGAGCATCAAAACCGAGGAAAAGAAATAGGGGTATCCACAGACACTCCAAATGAGCCCTTAAACATTTTAGACAAATCTGATAGCCTACTACGAGTTTTCCACACGTTTAATTTTATGTGTCCTCAGTCATAAGGTACGACTTCACTCTATTTCCCAGCGGTACCCTTTCCTCCTTGTTTGACTTTTTACCTTTTGATATCTTCTTGTAAATAAGCATACAGAAACACTATCATCACTCTCATTGGATATATATTCTAGCTGCTTACTTAGCCAGATAACCGTTATGATACCCTTTCATTGTGGACGATTATTCGTATGACGAGGGATTGCGGTTTGAGCAGACACTCTACCAAATTCAAGAGGCTGCGAATCCATCCCTGGGCGCTGGATTATTGCTCGCGGCAGCCGTGGTTCAAACAGACACGTGCCAGCACGAGCCACCTTCATCGGGCACCGCGGCACCCGTCTTCTTCCCTCGCGGTGCACACGTGCTCGCCGGGGGGGTCCCACCAGGATCGTCCTCAAGGGGAGGGGGAGCGCTGCCAGGGCGAGGGCTGGGTCCCCTCGGAACATCGCGAGGTCCTCTCTGTGGTCTCCGAGGCGCTCTCCTGCCGGGTGGATCCCCGTTGCTTCCTCGAAAGCCTCCACCGCACCCACGGCGTCGCTGCCAGGACGGGGGAGGCGCTGCCCTCCGCTTCCCTTTCCCCTTCCCCTTTGGCTTCCCTGCGCGTTTCGCCAGGGCCGCCCGGTGGCCCTTGTCGTTCCCCCTCTCCACAGCAAACCGTGGTCCGTCTCAACCGGTACGTCTTTCAGCAGGAGCGTAGGCCGCAGGGCCAGCCGGCCAAACACGGCCTTCCCTACTCCACGGCATGCCAAACCATGGAGGGGCTGCCCATGGCCATCTCGACGGCAGCGCAGAGTGGCGCATACGGACGCATTTTAAAGCAGTGGCTCTTCAACCCCCTCCGGGATTGCGTGGAGTGCTCCGTTCAGTATGCCACCTTAGAGCCGTCGCCGCGTGCTGAGGGAGGGGGAGGTTCGGTTGGAAGGGAGCAGCGGCAGCAGCTTGACGCCTCCGTGCGGCCATGGGACGAGGCCGCTGCCGCTGCCTACCTTGTAGAGGTTCTCTCACATGATGTATTTCGCAAGATAATCTATAAAAAGGCCTGGAAGGAAGCAGCAAGACGGCATAACGCACTTTTGGCTCGATTAGATCTCTTGTTCGCCTCCTCCAGGCTCAGGAAAGACCTTTCTTCCTCTTCCTTATCAAACGCAGCGGGGTCGGAAGCTGAACTGGTCCCTGATAATATTGATATCCTAAAGCAAGAGCTATTCAGTATCCCACACTGTGTGGTTGAGGTTGCCGTACCACAAATTATGATGCTTGAAAGGGCTTCTAAAGATGGCACGTCGCGTCATGGGCGGCGGAGCGCACTTGCTAACCTACGTTGCTACCCGGCTTCTCGGTATATAGCGCATCGATCCATGTATGAATTTTATACTAGCTCCACTACTTTATCATCAAAATTAGGGAGACCGCCGACCCACCTCCTTTTGCCTGCAAAACATCTCTCGACAACCCAGCCGTGCACGTCGGGCACTTCTCACATGCTGTGGCTCCTTCTTTATGAGATGGTTCAGCTCCGGATTTTGTGCGCAGTCCTCCTTCAAGTGGGACTGCTACTGTGGTGCGTGCATCGCACACGTCATAAGCGAAGCGAACTAAGCGTAGCAGAGAAGAATCCGGAAAAGGGTAATCCTTACTACACGTCCTCTTTCCATGATTTATCAGCCCCAGAAACCTCTCATAGTAAGCCGACAAATCACCTTCCAGCGGATCTTCTCTTGGATGAATCTGTCTGCGCCTGGATGGCGGCATCACTGGCAGGTTCCAGTATTGCAGACCTTTTCCACCCTCGATTGGATCGATTTGCTTTGAAGTTTAGCCAGCACGCTTCCGTGATGTCATCCGTTCCTAAAGAAGACGAACTTTTCAAAGTGTTCGCTGATGGCGGGACTAAGAGTCCTCCCGCGGCTCTCAATGCTACGGCAGAAGTTCATACCCAATACCCAAATCATACCTCTGTGCAGGCGCTTTACAATTATATCTCCTCGAGATTTAGGTCTATCGATGTAGACTACGAAGAGCCTCGTTTTCCCACAATAAGTCGGAGGGAATAGCCCAGCTCAATACAGAGAGGTACAACTCTCTTTTTTTTTTCCATCACTACTCGTGGTGTCAAGAAGTCGAATAATTTAACCCCTTCATGAGGGATAGACTGGAACCGGTGATATTTTTGGTTTATTGTCGCTGCTTTCCGTCGGGTTAGCAGTGTGGTCTACGAGGAGACTTGAAATGCGCGGGATGTTTTATGGACCATAAGAATGATCATTCTCAAAACGCCGTAGATGTGATATGAATTATATATGAAATTTCTGTTTTCCCTTAATCGGGAGGGTGGCTACTGTTGGTGTATGCGTCGCTATAGAGGCTCATAATATTGGGTTTCGATATTTTTCACTGGCATCGGCCCGCATCTCCGCCACTTAAGAGATAGATTGACGAATGGTGTCGCATTCCTATGGATGTACCGAATAATGAAGTAGCGGTCTATGTGCGTAGTTGAGCTCGTATGATGTAGGCCGAAGGTCGATGCTATATCGATTAGGGCATTACTAAGCTTTGTCCATCTGTTCAGTGAGTGAGATACGTGAGTGTTGTTTATAGAATTTTATTTCTATAACTAATTTTAGAGCAGCAAATGTCCTGGTATTTAAGCTGACTTTCCTAAGAATAGGAAGCCTGCACAAGGGTCTTTGCCATGGGTTCCTCTTGATAGGAGGGGCAAGAAAGAGTAGATGTTCTAGTGTAACCAAGAATAACAATAGCAGCTTGCCTAAAACGCAGGAATAGACAAGGGTAAGAAAAAGGTAGAAAATCAATAGCCAAAGTAGGTGAAATGTAAACTCTTGTACGCCCCTCTGCTAACTTGCACATTCCATGCACACAGTCGAAATGACACATTCTACTTTTCCTTATCTGTTTACGACTCCATGCTCCCCCCTAGCTAACACAACATAAACATTAACAAAAAGCTCTCTTTTTTATTACTCAAAATACAAATCACTAAGATCAGTTATTTACATTAATAACNC